GCTATTGGCCAATCAGTATTTTATTAAAACACCAGTTTACAAAGTATAAGACCATTGCCCCACAGCAAGCAACAGATAAAGATACCTTTCTATTGTGGAAAACCATAGAACTTCCTGATAAAAGTGAACTTCAGCTGAGTCCCAGTGCCGTGGGCCATCTACATGGTGTCCCAAGAGCAGCGCGAGTCACTCAGGCCCCTGCTGATGGAGGTTTTTCTTAACTAGGAATTTACAGGACACCGTGAGCTTTCAAGGTATTAAAAACTCTAAACTCCGAATTCCTGATGAGCCAGGTTTCCAGGAGTGGCCAGGAGTGGTTCTGCCTGCATTCTGGGTAAGGCTCTAGCTACTCAGCACTTGACACATATGCACCCCTCACACAGGTATGCAGATTGAGTGATAATCTTTGCCTTAAGCTACGCATGAGGAAGCCGTTCAAACCCAACTCAAAATTAAGAGTTGCCTGATTTTTCTCGAACTCGTACAGTCATCTCCTGCTTATCCTGGTGTGGGTTCTTCACTCTGCGGCTGAACTGTAGACAGCATTTATGTTGGCTTCTGACTTTGTGTTTTGAACAAAGAACACAAGAGAGTTCAGCGATACAGACTCAGACCTTCATCTAGATTCTCACTTAACATTTTCCTTCTGCCTTTGCCTTCCGTCCTGTTAACATTTTTATCTGTAATCATTTACATGCTATCTATGTATATACTATGCATATATGATGTGCATAATATGTATATGCACATATATACCTAACCATGTTTGCTTAACCATTGGAGGATAAGTTGCAGACATCATAGGCCTTTACTGCTAAAGAGTAAGTGTGTATTTCATAGGGTTATTTTCTTACATTGCCTAGAATAAAAAGCAAATTCAGGAGGCTTAACATGGGTAAAACTCTATTAGCAACTGTATGGCTTTTACTCCAATATCACCAACTGTCATTGCTGTCTTTACTATTGTTCTTTTAAATCCAGGATCACCATGTATTTGATTGCCATGGCCTTTAAGTTCCCTACACGGGAATACTTCTGCAACCTCTAATGGCTACTGACAGTTTTTAGGAGCACAGGCCTGGCATCTTGTAGAATGTTCTCAGTTCTGGTTCGTTGGATGGCTGATGACCTCAGGAGTGTCAGGAAAGTGAGGCGGGCATAGTCATGGCTACACACATCCAGAGACAGGGTGCTAGCTGGTCTCACTGCTGTTAACATTATCTGCTGCCTTAGGTCAGACCTGGTGCCTGGTTAGGAGGCGTCTGCCAGATTTTGCTATGGTAAACATAAAATTCCCCTCGTACTATGGGAAAACACATTTCCACAAATGGGTATTTGTTGTTTCTACCCAAATATCCATTTTGGCCACCTTAGCAAAACCAGTGTTGGAACTGTCTGAATTGCTGCTGACAATGGTGGCTCCGCAGGTGCTTTTCTACCAATTGTTCTATATTTATCAGTTGCTGTTCTGTTACAAGAAGCTTTTAATTCCATCTGTCTGTTCATCTACCCACTCACCCATCTCCACTCCCATCTTATTGTTAGTGTGGATACTTGAATTATTTTTGATTCATTTCTCATAAATGGAAAGTTTCTGCATTCTTAACCTGTGACCTCCTGACACCTTACTTAAGAACCTACTAACATGATAGAAATGCTACCTCACACGCCCTCATTTTAGCTTTTGCCAGAGCAATCTGCAAAACTTGATTTTAAACATGTTTTTCATGTGATTCTCTCCCCCAAATAACTGTGATTAACTTCTGTATCAAACATGGTTTTCACAATAATCAATTCCCTTTGACCTGGTGGGATGGATCCTTGTAGTTTATCTTGCTGGCTTCATGCAGATGGCTGCTAAGTGATTGAGTTTAATTAGGACCTCGCAGAGGTGTTGGAACCCAGGGATCTGTCTTGACCCTGGCTGCTCTTAAAGAACTGTATTCTCGTCTTGACTCACACAGTGAACCAGGCCCGCAGAGTGAAGGTGGTAGTCATTTTTAAGTTCAGTTTTGTTCTATGTGTGTGAGTGCTCACGTAAATGTGTGTAACATGTGTGTACCTGGATCCCAGAGGCCGGAAGAGAGAACATCCGGAGCTCAAGTTAAAGGCGGTTGTCAAGCCCCCATTCAGTTTCTCAAGCCTTCCAACTCTGAGTAGTAAATTCTTCTGTTACTAGAAAACCCTGTTACTGGAGTAACATTAGTATAATTGGCACCCAGACCTGTGCTACTGACCTCAAAACCAGAAGTCCATTACCATAGGCTACCCCTTAAAACTGATAATTTTAAAGTTTAGAAGCCAGCCATTGCTATCCACTCAGCAGACATCTTGTGGTTCGGGGACAGCTACATGCAATGACTGAGGAAGGCCCAGCTACCTCACATGTCAAGACAATCTGTGTGCACCATCTTAGCTTTGTCTTGCCTCATGGTGTGGATGTTGGGGGAAGGTCGTCTGGATAAGCCTCCAGTTCAGCTTTCCCTTCCGGCCAACCATGAGTCTTCTTTCTTGATGCTACAAGTGTGGGTCCTGAGGGCATGTCTGCCCATACCAGTAAGCATGCTGAACCCTAAAATCCATCTTACTCTTCATTCTACAAGCCAACCTGCAATCTGGACCCAAAGAACTGGTTCTCAGGGAGGATTTTCATTAGCAAATTATACGCATACCCAAAATACTGATTTCTACATCCCAGACGATGAAAAGGTAGAAGCAGGAACGGTGCATTTGGATGTGATTAGCTGCTGGGTAAAAGTCTTAGGCTAACAGGGTTAGCATGACCTTTCAAATACACATACCATACCAGTTAGGGCACATGCAGACCTTGGCTGCCCAAGCACCAAGAGCTGCAAATGCTTTGCTTGCTCCAGGCTACAAGATAAGCCTAGAACAGCCACGCATTTGAAGAACTCTGGAGGAATCATTTCCCAGCTGTGCATGAGTCATGACTGCACCCAGGCGCGTCTCTTTGTCGGAAGACTCAGGGGCCGAAGCTGAGATTCTGACAGATAGCAGTGAGCACAGCTCGGCTCACTTAGTTGTGGGGTATTGGGTGTGGAAAGCCTGGAGTACGAGTCTACACACTACTCAGGCCAACCACCCCAAACATACACATATGGTGGGCGGGAAGTTAAATACTCCAAAAGGCCCCTTTGTTTTATTATTGTTTTGGGTCCCCTGGAACTGTGACTGCAGATGACTCTGAGCTGCCCTGTGGAGGCTGGGAGTTGAACCCTGGTCCTCTGGAAGAGTAGCCAGTGCTCTTAGCCACTAAGCCATCTCTCCAGCCCCTAGAAGCTTCCTTTGCATCTCACCCGACCGCCAACAGTTTCAGGTTCCTAAAGTAAGTGCCACTAGGTTTTGTACGTTACAGTTTAGTTATGACTAGCTTTGAATTCTGTATAAAAGGAACCATAAGTCTTTTGGGTCAGACATCTTTGACATGAGATCATGTTCCTAAAGTCCGTGTGTTGTGCCTGTACTTTGTCTTCATCGCTGTATTCTAGCACCAGCTGTTTCTGTGCTGGTAAGAATTTCACTTATTTCCAGCCTAAAATACTTAGAATTACCCTTCCAATGACACCCTGCACACTTCTTAGTGCTCATGTACGTATACCAGAGAGGGCACAAACCACAGGGTGCTGCGCACTGCGCCCGTGTCTGCGCTCTGTGCACTGGCACCCAGTTCGCGAGCTTCAGGCAAGGGGCTGGAGGTTAAAATACACAGACACACACACACACACACACACACACAGAGAGAGAGAGAGAGAGAGAGAGAGAGAGAGAGAGAGAGAGAGAGAGTCATCCTTGAATTCCCCAAGAATGCCCCCTTTATTGTGTTCAGGGACAGATTATATAGAGATAGCCACGCCCCAGCCAAACCCACCAGAAACCACTCTCCTGCCATCAGGAACTCCTGAAGGTCTCGTGCTCAGAGAAGCTGTAGGCACTTGGATCAGGGGATTACAAGAAATTCAGGATCTGGGGTCTCACTGCTCCCAACAACAGGGCCTATGGCTTCAGCAAGTGTCATCAAGATATTTTTCTAAGATATTCATTCACTTGTGTGTGTTATGTGTATGTCTATGTCTGTGCACACGCAATATCGAGGTCAGGGGACACCTTTCAGGAGTTGGTTCTCTCCTTTCACCATGTGGGTTCCAGGAATCAAACTCAAGCTGTCAGGCCTGGTGGCAAGTGCCACTACCCACTGAGCCATCTCACTGACCCGAAGTTTGTTTGATTTTACTGAGTAGGTTCATGTAGCATTACAGGAACATTCCTGTTGCTTCATTGGCCTTTAGCAGCTGATAGAGGGGTTTTGCTTCGTGCCCCAATTGCAACGTTAAACTGTCTTTTCTCAGCAAGAGTGAGCCCTTTGCCAACTCTGGCCAACTGAGTAGTCTCATCAATGAAGCACCTGTTCAGTCCTCCTGCTCACCTCTAAGTGGACCCTGAGATTTTCCTAAGGAGCTGGAGGGTTTTTCAAGTTCTCGGACATCAGTTCTGAGACTCTTTTTGTGAAGAGGAATGATGGTACGGCTTCATGAACCAGACCATGATCTCCACAGCACAGACTCAGTCCCAGTACATCTGAGTGAAGCAGAAGACACTCACTCTCATGATTCCCAGGTAAAGTTGCTGCTGGCCGAGGCCACACTCGCTGAGACCAGCATTCAACAAGGCTTTAAAGAGAATGGCTATAGATTCCTCCCGTGAGTTTGAGGGAAAAGTCACCTTAAGAAAACCCAAAACCATAACCATCTGATGCGTGTTCAAGCCTGGGGACGAAGCTAATATTCTCCTCTAGGTAGGAGTTACCGACCCCTTTGGCAGCTCCAGGAGCAACTGTTCCAGGCTGTCTGTCTGGTACCCAAGTGGCCAAGAGAAACAGGTGGTGGCGGAAGGTGTCTCTGATTTCACAACAGCTCACTGGCTTTCACCAGCAAGGACACGAGTCAGTGCGGAATCCCTCACAGAATCAACACATCTTTGAACGGAGATGAAAACTGCCATTTATTTCAGTTGAATTTGGTTTGTCCTGGGATGGCGTAAAAACAGAAATGAAATAGAAACACATTTATATGACTGACTTTAATTTCTAAAGACCAAATAAACATATATACATTCAAAACATTTCTAAATATTCAAACAGACCTTATTATTGCCATTGCTGCATCCCAGGCTCCTGAAATAGTAGCCATGACTACTAACGAACAGATGTATATCACTTATTGGACTAGACATTATTACACTAATTACAGACTTTTCTGAATACCAAGAATCAAACAGCCACTGCACTCCATGTTTGGTGTTTTGCTATGTATGTGCTTTTGAGGTTCCATTTTATAAAACAGGCTTTGTTCTGTTAACTAGTCTAAAAACCTGATACACATATATGTACATATATATGTATTTATATGGATTGACATATACACACATGATCCTATGTGAGCATGTCTCTATTAACATACGTAACTCGAGGGTGGTTTATTGTGACAGATCATGAAGGGTTCACTTTAAATCATGACAGTAAAGCCTTTAGTAGCATGAACACAACAGATTGCATGGCTTCCACCATCCAGGAAAATTTAAGACCTGTGGTTACGTGGAGTCCAGCAGGTCCAAGGAAGTGTTGTTGTTGATTGACTATCAGAAGGTCCCCAAGACCTGCCATTAGTGGTCGGAAGTAAACTGATTTGGATGGGCTCTATCTAGAAAGTGAAGTGTCTGCACGGGTCCTGAGAATGGGAAGCGCAGTTACAGCAATGGCCTGCAGCAACTTTCAGGGTTTTCACGCCGTGAGGACCTCTGCATGTCCATTTGGAAGGACTTCACGGAAGGCTGATGGCCCATGGAGGTTTACCTTCTGTCAACAGAGGCCAGATGAGAGCCACTGTTCCGGGAAAAGGACCGCAATGTTGCGTCCATCACAGGAGCAGTTCATCCTGAGACGCTAACTTAAACCGGAAGGGACGTTTTTGTTCCCTTCACCAAACCACCTAGCAGGGCTCCCACCGAGAAAGCAAAATCTTACTTTTTCCAACATAAATGTCCGCCCATCCTTTAGCCACATATGTTTGTGTATGTATGAGGGGAGGGAAAGTCTCTCTCTCTATTGCAATGCCATTGAAGGATCTGGTTTTTCTTATTCTTGTTCATTTTACTTGTACTATTTTAGGCAGAGGCCTTTGAGGGGAGGTAACGGGTCCTAGCTATCTATGTCAAAGAAGGTGGGGGGCAAACTGGCAACTTCACACAGTCTTCAAGTAAATGGAGTCCCTGATATAACTGGAAAAGTGTACTTTGAAAGGCAACAGGAAAGAAACGAACTGCTTGCGACAGCTTACAGAACAAATGGGCTTCGGCCCTAGAGTCTTTTAAGGCACAAAATCTGGTAGACGGCTGCTGTCGGTGGCGGGCACCTCAGAATCGGATATGAAGAGCGCAGCTGGAACATTTCAATAAAACAATCGGCCGTTTTGTTAGAACCTGAAATCACTGAACAAAGGTGGAGGGAGAAATCCAGACACCAGTATCTTGCGTGTGAAGGGTTTGCTGCAGAGTGAAAACGGAGTGTGCTGTAGTGTACAAAGTGCAACCCCATCAGGGGAAGGCCTTCGGAACAGGCTCCGCATTCCGGCAGTCACAACGCTGTTTCAAAGATTGTTAAGGCCGAGGGCTGTCCATTGGAGGTGTTCGTAGCCACGGGGCTGGTGAATGCAATGTCTGGATAATTCCTTCTGAAGTACACCTGTGCAAAAGGCATACAGAAAAAGAACATGAGTACACTTTTCCAAACTTCCCCTTGGAGGCAATGCCTTTTCTGCCCAGGAAATCACAGCACTTGATGAGGTGCAATTAGAAGGCGGGGCAAGTTCACATTCTGTGGACGATCGGCCCCGTTCAGACCCCCAGAAGGGCTGAATCCCAAACAACTTGTAGGTCCACTTTGGCTCCGATCGCTCCGATGCAGATACACTTTATCACACCATTAAATTGATAAGTAAAATCATTTTACTGGCTCAAAACCCAGAGATAAATTAAAAACGGGGACAAAGAGGGCAGGGAACCGAGCATCTGCACTGAAGTTTCTCATTTTCGAGCATAAAATGAGCACAATAGGCTTGGATGTTAATATCAGGTTGTAATCCCTATAACATTACAAACTCTGATTGACAAGCATTGAAACTCTGGCGTTTACGTAGGAAATATCCTGGCACTTAATTTGTACAGCAAGGCAGCCATAGGGCCTATGGAAACGCGATCTGTGGATAGCGGACCACAGTTATGAAAAGAGAAGCAAATACTGTAACAATGACCCCACCAAGCGACTTCTCTAAACTGGAAGATGATACCGAATAATAGGGCAGTTCTTAGCCGAGCCTTTGAATCCCTGAATTCTGCCAATTCCGAGGAAGAGATACAGGTTCTCTGATAAATGTGTAATCAGAACATAAAGGAAATGAAATGCTGTCAGGTCTCAGTGTCCCACAATCACCAGTTTTTAGCGGCTGTATCATATCTGGGTTCCTTGACAGACACGTATTACAAAATGAAATAATGTCAAGGCTTGTGAGCGCTTATCTCCAGATGTGTTTGGCTTGAGAAAGGACTTCAAATGCAATTTTTTTCCTTCAAAGAAAACTGTGAAAAGTTTTGTCTGAGTCTTTAAAACAGAAAATGCACCATCTCTGTGAGCTGCCATGTGTCATCAGCTGGGTCCTGTCATGCTGGATCCACTCTATAAAACCCCAGCTGGCAATGGATTTGTGGGTGCAGTCAACAAAGTTATCATGGGATCATGGGCTTCATGAGCAACGAGAAGGTCGCAGAGACACCTACTTCCACAGTCAGTATAGCGCCCTTGGGTCGCCTGCAAACACTTCCCAAAACACCACCACAAGGAAGAGTCAATTTATAAAAGAAATGTCACTTAAAAAGATTGTACTGGAATGAACTTGAGACTCTTCCCATAACACAAGCTTTCAAAGCCAGGACTTGTTCTTTCAGTGCCCGGGGAATTAAATTTCACATCACCTCCACCAATCTCCTCTTGGAGTTTCCCAGCACTCACATGACTGGCCACAACTGCCTGTAACTCTAGTTCTGGAGGATCTGACACCCTCTTCTGGAGCCTGTGGGCACTGCATGCACATGGTGCACATACACGCAGGGAACAAACCCTACACACTAACTAATATGGATTCATTTTCCAGTCAGGAATGTTCTGCTGAGAAACCATTTTAGGAGTAGAAAATCCCTAGTCTGACTTTTTCTACCATGTTTTCTTTCTTTCTTTCTTTCTTTCTTTCTTTCTTTCTTTCTTTCTTTCAATGGGCAGGGCTTCTCTGGATAGCTTTGGTTGTCCTGGACCTCGCTCTGTAAACAAGGCTGGCCTTGAACTCAGAGATCCCCTGCCTCTACCTGGGATTAAAGGGACGCCCCATCATTGCCCAGCTTCTACCATGTTCATAACACATTCTGGATAATGGTATGATTGAGACTAGCATCCCTTTTTTAATTTAATTTTTTAATTTTTATTCTTTTGGGAGACAGGGTTCCAAGTATCTCAAAAGCTGGCTTTGAACCTATCATGGAGCTGAGGACAACCTAGAACTCAGAACCCCTGCTTCTACCTCCAAATGCTGGGATTAGAGTGTGTGCCAATTACCAAACCTAATAAATCCAAAACCAAATCTCCTCTCTCTCTCTCTCTCTATATATATATAATATATATATTCATATTCATATTTCATATTCATATTCCTGGGGACTGAACCCACAGAATCACACACTCCAGGCAAGGCGCTCTGTCTCTAGACTCCCACTTCATAGCGTGTATTCACAGCAGGTGATAGAGCCAGAAGGTGACTGACTTCTCTACTGGGCCCTCAAGCTGGAGGCTTGGTTTAGGCTAAAAAAGGCCAGTCTCTGTCCTTTTCCTGAACACACGGCTGAGACTGGAATGTCTACCTGGACTCCCTCCACAGCAGCAGCCTCATCTGTGAAATGAGATAACAAGAACTTAGCTCATAGGAACTAATGAGCGGCTACAAACTGCAGGCTGGAAACATGCTGAGGTAAGTGTTGGGTGTGTCAAGGAAGGCTGCTCGGAGAAGCCCCTTAGTGTATGGAGAGGAGCCTTACAGGCATGACGACTCCTTTTTGTGAGAGCATAGGATCTCTGTGGAGTCCTAGGGCCACTGTGGTGACGGTGTTAACAAGGAACCATGGTGATCTGGGAGGCAAAAGAAGGCCAGGCTGGGAGATGACTGGTGCTTTCCGAACCAGCACCTGCTGGCTGGCAGCTCTGAAAGCTTAGCTGGCCTTTTCTGCCTCAGTTTCTTCATGAGGCAAATGGTAACAATGGCCCAGCAGAAGATTTGCAGAGACAAAAAGAGACATTGCCAGAAAGCGCTAGTCTGTGGTAACTCTCTTGTTCCTTCCTTTCTCTTAGAATGTGCTCAGAGGTTCTCTAATGTGGACCGAAACAAAGACCCGCCATTAACTTGTTCATCAAGATACCATATGGGGACAGCGTCTTCTAAAGCACAGAGCAACAGGGCCTCCTTTCATGGGCAGAGAAGAACAGGAGCTTTGATCTATACTGCACTTAGAAGACAACACTCAGTGTGCTGAATTCAGATTCAAGACTGAATTTATTCTCAATAACTGGTTCATTCATGGTAGTTTTCAAAGCCTCGTGTTCCTCAATGTTACAGCAGGTCTAACGTTAGACTCTATCCCTGGTACCACGTTAAAGAATACTGGAGGCCTAGTCCTGCTCTGAACAATAGATTATCAAATTCTTACACTCGGAGAAATCACCGTACACATCAAAGATACAGAGGAATAAATAAAGAGCTTATAGACTCTCCCATCTGAAACAACATTCTGTCCACAGCCAGCCTGCAGCTGTGTGATCTGGGAAAAAACCCATCCAAAGTGAAAGGCAGTAATGATAATGAAAAGAGTGGTATGCACTCTGTAAAACAGACAAAAAGGAACCAGACAGACTGATGCTGAGAAATGCTCAATAAGCAGACACAGCGATGGGAAAACATCCGCAACACAGGGAAGAAGATTCAAGAGGGCCACCAACTCTGCAGAGAGTGAGAACCCTGGAAACACAGCAAGCGAGAGCTGAGATGAAACCTAATTAATAGAGGTCAGCAGCAAAGAGGACAAAAAAAAAGATCAGGAAATGACCGGCATGGCAAAGGCAGCACAAAGATTATTACCACAGAAAAGAGCAATAGAGTGAGACATGAAAACAGGATTGAGTGAGCAAGCAAAATAAGTGGGAATTAACATTTTTAAGGAGATTAGGGAAAAGAGCTTTATAAAACTGATAAAGGTAAAATGATACATGGAAAGCAAAGTGTAACAGAATTATTACAGATAAAGCAAACCTACGATTCCAATAAATGTAAATGGGTTAAACCATCTATTATAAAAATGCTAGGATCACATCTCAGAGCAAAACCCAAGCCCATGCATGTACAGAAGACACACTCTGGATATTAATAACAAAGACATACAGAGTAAATGAAGTCAGAGTGGAGAGGACAATGGAGTGATCTTAGTTTTGAACCAGCTAGAAGTAAAAGCATTCGATAACTAAAAATAACAACAAAATAAACCCAAACCAGAAAGAATCAATAGAGTAGATACTGATCAGCTGTACAGTAGACTTAATAACTAGTAAATCAACCAGAGCTAAATCTTTGGGGTAAAAATAACTAATATAGTCAGAGAGGGAGATAGTATGTAAAGGGTGGAGGAAGGATAACTGTAAGGTAGCTATTAAAGAAACTGAGATAACTATGTAATGATACAAAGATGCACTATCGAATGGGGATGTAGCTCAGTGTAGGTAAGGCTCTGGGTTTAATCCTTAGAAACAAGAAACAGAGGAAAAGGTAGCTCTCTTCGGTGTTTGATAACTAGAAAGGGTGGATACATACACACCCTCAGTGAGGCACATACAACATCAGCAAACCTCTATGCGGGGGAGGAGCTATAAGACAAGACACCAGAATGACTGAGTGAGTTATTTTTTTACTTATTAGCATTAAAGAAGTGGGGGATGGAAGGTGGGGGGGGGTGTTGCTCCCCAGCAAGGATGAAAAGAGCGAAGTGTGAGGATACACACTGGTAATTCGCAGGTGTGAGGACACACACTGGTGTTTCCCAAGTGTGAGGATACACACTGGTGATTTTCGAGTGTGAGGACACACACTGGGGATTCTAATGCTGATAAGGTGAAGATGGAAAGATCTCTGGAGTTCCTGGGACAAGCTGAATGAGCAAGCTCCAGACAAGAGTCTCAAAGGAGGTGGGCAGCACCCCAAACAATAATACTATGTTGACTTCTGGCTTCCATATGTGCACACTCATGCATCCATACACATATACATGTGCACACATGTATACATAAAAAAGTTTACCATATATAAACTTTTGAAATTTGTACTCTTGGCACAAGTCATCTGTTAGGCTGGGTGTTAAAAATTATTGCTAATGGTATCAGGTGGAAGAGGTCTGGCTTGAAGACTTTCCCGCCTTCTGTTTTCAACAGCTGGAATCCCCTTGCATTTGTGAAATGCTGCACCCCTTTGGAGCTCTGGATCGTCTACCATCTTGTCTGACACTCATGGTGTGGAGAGTTCACCAGCACTGCAGACCCTACCTGTACCACAGAAGGGAGCCTCACCTGCAGAGGCATCAACCACTCTTACGGAATGCCAG